TAGGTGCTCGTTTTGGGAAAAAAAAAAAAAAAAAAAAAAAAAAAAAAGGATGAAATATTGAAATAAAATCAGGCGAGGAGGTTGTGGGGCGGGATGAGCCGGGATCGCTTTGTGCCGCCGGCAGCGGCTCGGGCCGGTCCCCGGCGGTGGGAGAGCGGCTGCGCCCCCGGGACCGGGGCCGGGCCGGGATCCCGCTCCGCTCCGCCGCGCTCCAACTCTTCCCCTTTAAAACTCCTCCTGCCGCTCGCGCTGACCATGCGGCTGGATTTATGGAGAGAGATGTTTTAGCAGAATCCCCCCGAGTCCCCCATCAGCCCTAAATCCCCAGCCCGCGCTCCCCGGGAGCCCTCCTGACACAGAGCATGCCAAAACAGCTTCGTTTTGCCTATGCATTAGCAATCTATTTTACCTTTTTGACATCTCTCACACATAAAACCGTAAGAGAGAAATAAAATATCTGTCTCTGGGCGAAAATAAAGCTTTGCCTCCCTCCTGATCTATAGGATATAAAATAAAGCCATGGCTTTGATAGTGGCTTTTCCTTAGACCGGAGTTGCTTTTGCACACACGGAGACAATGAAGATGGATGAGCCGGGAGCGGTGCATCCTCCGGGGGTTCGCTTCACCCTCTTTTTTTATAGCCCCCCTCGCCCCCTCTACCTCTCCACTTTTCTTTTTTTTCTCTTTTATTCGCCTTTTATCTGCCCTTTACCGAGTGAGGATCCCGCTCGGCTGTCCCACAGCCCCGCTCCCCGCCGGGCTCGGGGCCACCCCCGGACACCCCCGGACACTCTCCCGTCAGTCAAAGGCACAGCCGCGCTCCTCGGATTTGCAATTATTTATTAACCGTATTTCCCATAAACAATGCATGAGCTCGGAGTGTAAGCGACAACATTTAGCGACGTGGGCAGAAACCCGGGAGGGCTAATCACGGGCGTGGGGAGCAGGAAAATAAATAAGGAAAAGGAAAATAAATAGAAAAGAAAGAAAAGAAAAGGGAAAGGCGAGCGGAGCCCGGGGGCGACACTGTGGTGTTTACCCTCAGCATCGACCCGAGTGTGGCAGGATAAACTGGGACCTTCCAATACATAATTTAAAGATCTTTTTCTTCTTCTTCTTTTTTTTTTTTTTTTCAAGCTCTTTTAAAACAAACCTGGGGATGGATCCTGTCCAGCCATGGGGTTTATTGCGCGGGGATGTTCTGAATGCTTAATTACATCTTAACTTCAATATTTGGCCAGAGCATTAACCGCATATATATTTAATCAGGCGGAGGCGCTCTTCCTGCGGGGGAAGGTGCGGGGGCCGGGGGAGAGGTGGGACCCCCACCTTCCCTGCGGGCTGTGCCCCACAGAGAGCGAGCGAGACCCCGCCGGGAGCGCCCCCGGGAGCGGAGGGGTCGGAACGGGAGCTCGGGGCTCCCCCCGCCCCCGGCCCCGAGCCCGCGCGGTCCTGGAGAAAGGTTTAAAAGGAGGGGGGAAAGAAAATCAAATTTAAAATGAACAGGAAAAGAGGGAAAACTTAGCGCTGTCGGGGGGTGGATGTGGTGGGAAGCGGCTCCAGAGCGTGGGAGGGAAGGGTTTGCCCGGCTGGGGATGCGCGGATGCTCCGCAAGGAGCCGCGGTGCGGGCTCAGGGCTTGCGCAGCCCCGGCACCCCGAAAACGAGAGAGAAATGCCATCACTGAGCGCAGCGGCGGCGAAAGGGGGTGATAAACAGGGTGATGTTTAACTGAAAAGATGGGAACGACACCCATAAAATGCAAATTTAAACTCGCCTGAAAGGGACTTGGTTTTTTTCTTCGGTATTAGATTTAAAATGAATTTGAGTTTGGGTTTGTTTGGCATTTGTGGGTTTGGGAATTTTTTTTTTCACTCTTTTCTTTTCCCTCTCTCTTTATTTGGGTCTCTTTCACTAGTCACTATTTTACTTACACTCTATTCTTTAAAATTTTAAATTTTTTCCCTCTTTTTAATTTCCATCCTTTAAAAAATTTCCCTTTTTAAAACATCTGCTGATTCCCCCTTTTTCTTTCTTTCTTTTATTTTTTACTCACTTAATGTCGTTCCTTCCAGCACTGGGGCCGGCTGGGGCTGCTCTGGAACCTCCCGGCCGCTCCCCGCGGGGTTCGGGCGGGCTCGGCCCCGGGCGAATTGCAAAATAGAGTGAAAAACAAAAATCCCCCCTAACCCAGCAGCCGGCGCTCCGAGGGGGCGGCACACGGTGCTGCTGCCGGGGGGGTTCCCCGGGGGTGCCCCAGCCCGGCCCGCGGGGCGCAGGAGGCCGGGGCAGCCCGGGGATGCTGCCCGGGGCTTGATTTTCGGGTCTGCTGGAGACAAGCGCGGGCGATTTGGCCTCTCAAACGCCTGCTCTGGGTCGGGATCCCCACTGTCCCCCTCCTGTCCCGAGCGGGGCTCGGGGGCTTCGGGCGGACAGAGCCCCCCGGGAAGCGCAGCGGAGCGGGGGGACCCCGGAGCCCGCGGGGAGGGGCTGGGCACGGCCTGAGCCCCCCGGCAGCGGGGGGGCAACCAGATGCTTTCGCTAACGCCTGGGAAAGGAGAAAAAAAAAAAAATCGCTGTGAAAAACTGGTGCTTGATGGACGCGAGATGCTCATCGCCTTCCCCTCATTCATCCCCACCGACACATGGCACCGGGGCCCGGAGCGCTCCCCTGACGGCAGCCCGCAGCTGTCGCCTTCCCGGGCGGCGCCGGCTCCGCATGAGAAGCGCCCATGTGTGGGGACCGGGCGGGGCGAGCCCGGCCCCGCTGAGCCCCGGCGGCCGCCCCCGAGCGAACCGACAGCTGCGCGCCCCGACGGGCCGAGGGTGACAGCGCGGGGCTTTTAAACATCGCAGGAGCTCCGAGGCGATGTCCCGGCCCCGGGACAGCCCTGGAACGCCCCGGGACAGCCGCGGGACAGCCCTGGGACAGCCGCGGGACCGCCTCTCCCCGCCCGGGCAGGCTCTGCATCCTCGCCGGTCCCGGCTGCCCCCCGCGCGGAGCGGGTTTACTACTTTCCTTTTTGTTTCTGTCTTCCAATTTATGCCTTCCTCGCTTTTTGAATTTTTTTTTCCCCTCTCAAGGGCCAGGAAAACAGACGTGAAAGAGAGCGAGGGCAGTGTGTCCAGGCGGGGGATGCTGCGGGCTCCGGGGCGGGCCTCGGCCATCCCCGCGCCCAGCCGCGGCTCTCGGGGCTGTGAGTGAGCCCGGGCACGCTCGGTCCCTTCCATCCGCCCGTCCCCTCCCCGGTCCCCGCCCGGGCTCAGCCCGCTGGGACGGGGAGAGGGGCGGGCTCCGGGGCCAGGCGGTGACACCTCCCCGGAGCGGTGGCTCCCGACGGGCAGCAAAGCGCGAAGGAAAGGGAAACCTCGTCCCTCCGCACCGCCCCGGTACCGACCGGCCCCTGGAAGGTAAAAGCGAATTAATTTTTATTTACCAAAAAAATTTTAAAAAAATAAAGAAGGTACACGGCGGTGGCCGGTGCTCCTCGGCCCCGGACGTGCGCCGGTAACGGAACCACGGCGAAGTTAGCGGCGCCTCCGCCGCGCCCTCGGCGGTCCGGTGGCCCCGGGCCCGCCGCCCCCTCCCCACCGGGGCGGCCCCGCCGGAGCGTCCCGGGCCGCAGTCCCGGCCCCGCCGCACCGCTCCTCCCAGGAACAGCGGCCCGCCTCGGGATTCTCCTCGACTCCGCGCCCCGCGGAGACCCCGCGCCCTCGGGGAAGCCCCGCCGAAGCGGGATCTCGTTTGTCTCCGGTCCCTAGCGAGGCGCTCCTCCGGCCGGCGGCGGCCACCGGCTCGCTCTGACGGATCCGTGACCCCGCGGGGGTGCCAGACCCCACCGAGCGCACCGTGCCCGCGTCCGTGCTCCCTCACACCTACCGCGGCATCGCGCTCGGGGGGCCGGGCCGGCCGTCGGCGTGTCGGTCGGTGTGTCTATCGGTGTGTCGGCGAGTCTATCGGTGTGTCGGTGAGTCTATCGGTGTGTCGGTGAGTCTATCGGTGTGTCGGTCGGTCGCTCGGCGGGCCGGCGGGCGGAGGCGGCGGCGGCGCCCCGGCGGCTCTATAAAGGGGCGCGGACGCCCCGTCCGGCGGCGGCGCGGCGGGCG